CAACCACCGCGCTAATAGGAACTCGCCATATCGGGGAGCTAGAGGCTATTGACAATATATATGCTTCGCGTATGATAACGGCTGATAATAGGCAATTTTTACTTCAATTTCATTTCATAGCTTCTTTTTGCGTGTCGGTGTGGATATACGAAAGGTGTCTTTAGAATAACATTGGAAGAAGATCCACAGTACTCCATTACTTCCTTCTTGGAGGCCATGTTGTTTACTGAGCAGACTAAACTAACATTTCTCTGCAATAAAATAAAACAGCAATTTCTTTGTGTTTAGTGTGCATATTTCAACGTTACGGGTGGTAAATCAGATCACATGCTTGTAAATATTGGAGAAAAACGGCTCGCTGTGAAGGTACTGATTTACATTTGTGAAACGGCACTATTCCAGATTTCAACCTCCCAAAATCTCAGAATTGAATTTTGGTGAAACTTTGCTCAGAGGTTTATTTGATACACTGCTATGGTAGTTCCGTACAATAGACTCATACTGCGATATTACGTTAGTCATAAACGGATGTAGAAGTCATCAAACGGCCTAAAAAGTTCCATTTTCCAAGTTGTATGGTAAAATCTCCGCAAGATTTGGTCATATTAGGATACGTTAGGTATACGGTAGGAGGTCAATATCAAAGATTTCCTCCAAACTTTGCCAAAGAAGTTCGTTATTACGCTGTTTACAAAATTAGCGCTCCCTTCGCATCAAACATCTTACTATGAGAAGGGATTATGGCAGAAAATAAACTTTCCAATTTACTTGTTTTTTCTCTTGATAGGCGTAAGTTCTCCAGCTACAAAAACGACTCACATCCTTTTTGTAGCTGGAGAACTTACGCCTATCAGTATAGAAGATTTGTATGATAATTAATTCATGTAGTCACACAGGACCACTTTTCATGCAGACCTATAATAATGACTCCCTAGCGTATGCTTCCAGTATGACTGCGTCGTGAAAGTGGACATTGCATCTGTGAACAATATGCCAAACAGCTTCCTTTCCTCTTCCCTGCCAAAGTTTCAGCGAATCAAGGTCTTGATTTTTTGGAGTCGAGATTCCGGAATAGCGCTATGAAAATCTCTTAGTATCATTAAATGCTCTAAAAATGTGCCAACTTAGATTCGATGCAGTAACAACGCGCTTTTCCGAGTCTCACCAAGTGCGATGTTTATAGAGCCAGGACAATGTCAGAATCTCGTCGTCATCAGAAATGCAGGTAAATATTTCTCGGATACTGATTTTGCATATCAACCATCTTTTGCTTTTTCATATAGTTTCTAAGAAGTGAGAAGAATACAGAGTCTTTGTAATTCCTTGCATTCAGGACCAGCTCGATCCGACAAATTAATCCTGCAATTTCTCCCATGTGAAAAAGACACAGAAGACTGCAAAGAATTTTTCAAACAAGCCGAAAAAAATGGCTTAAAACCAGATACTTTGCGTATCTCGTTGAAGGTATGGATTGTAGCGACACGATCCGAGTGGGCACTTATGAGAATGCGCAATGTACCAAGGAATAATCCCCCTATACATCAGAACCCTTAGGTATATTTCTCCTTCTTACAGATGGTTGGTGATGCTGGTTATCGTGTAATTCCATCAAGAGAAATAACAGAAGATGCGATTTCATAATGGCTATCTTCATTAGCGTTAATTCATAACTGAAAATAATCTGTAAAAATCCCTTTTGTAAACTGTTTGAATAAAAAGTATTATTGGTTTTTGTATAACGGTGGAAAAAACAAGAAATGTAAATAACCTAAAATTGCGTCTAAAGTCTTTCTTAAATTGCAGTCAAAGTATGTTGGCTTTAGATGGTATCAACCAGAAGTCGAAGTAAATTTTTATTTTAAAAAAATACGGAAAATAAAAGAGATATGAATAGATATTAGTTTGTGACACATGACAACATGGGAAAAAATTATACAAAGAGAAAAAATTGTACTTCATTTTTTAATAACATACAATCACTGGGCATGTCGAATCTCTCAGAGGCTATTCATGAATAAAAACTAATTGAGATCGAGGACACGTGGAATAACCTGTATCACTAAAACTTTAATGAAAAACCTTTCACTAGGGTCTCTGCACCAGATCTTCGAGGGTAAGGTGGGTTCCATTGAAGAAAGTAAAGAAAATTTGTGTAACTTGTGGGGAAAGAGCTATTTTTCGTAGAAAGATGATAAATTATGCTTTAGATATTCAGTTCATATGAAATAAATGAATAATTTT